CTGGAGTTTCTTTTGTAGCCAAACAGTTCCCAGGAACCAAGTATCTAGGAGGCTGGAGTTTCTTTGTCTTCAGTTTTGGCCCTAGACCCCAGGAGAGACCAGAGGATCTGGAGTTTCCTTGTGTCGGAGGCCTACATGTCTTTTCTGTAGCCTGTCATGGCTGCTAAATAAAGCAGGGGACTGAGTGAGGGTCTGGTTGGTCCCTTTATTTCTAAATTATTAGAAGTGAAGCCTTTAAGTTTAGTTTACCCCTTTCACATATATGCCAGCTAGTCATTCATTCAGGCAGTGTGGCTCATGCCTTTAATCCCAGCACTTGGGAGGCCGAGGCAGGCGGATCTCTGTGACTTGTTCTGTATACCAGGCTGGCCTTGTATTCACAAAGATCTGCCTGCCTGAGTGCTGGCATTAAAGGTGTGGTGCACCATCGTGCCCGTCTTGACCTGGAACTCTTTATGTAGACCAATCTGGACTCAAAGACACCTGCCTCTACCCTTGGAGTGTCAGAATGAACCAGCTGCATCCCTACTTTTTATCTTTTGTGTAATATGTTTTCCTATGAGTTTCACATTCATCCCTTGAGAAAGCAAATTATCTGAGAGACAGGACTAATTTTCTCTCTTTTAGCCCATGAATACTATTTTCTAGATGTTCTAGAAAGATGATGGCTCTTTGTGGGTGTCCACGATCTGCTAGGTGTGGCAGCACACATCTGTGCCAGCAAGGAAGCAAAATGTCCAATGGCATCCAGATTGCTGTGCTACAGTGAATAGTACTTGTATAGGATATAAGCTTGCTCTCTGAATTTTTTTAAATTTGAGACGGGGTCTCTTTCTGGTATAGCCCAGGTTCACTGGCGTACAGGCCACCATGTCCAGTTACATTGGTGCTGAGGATCATGTTGGAGTTTGCAGAATTCTAGGTTTACTTAGCTCCATCCCCAAACCCTTAATCTTAGGCTTCCTCTAAACTAGTTTTACCCTGTAGCCCAGGCTGTAGCCTTGAAGGAACCATGTAGAGCAGGCTGGCTTCATACTCTTGTCACTTTTCTTGCCTCAGCCTCCCCAATGCTGTCACCACAAGCATGAGTCACCATGCTAAGCTATTCCAGTTCTTTAGGATCAGTGAGATAGCACAATGGAATATGGGAAATCTATACTAAACCTGAAGACCCAAGTTCAGTCCCCGGGAGACACATAGTAGAAGGAGAAAAGAAACTGACTACATAAGTTGTTTTGTGACCTCCAAACCAAGACAAATGAACATTTAATTTTTTAAAAAATTGCATTAGCTGTTATGTCAAGAAGAGACAGCAGGGGGCGAGAGAAAGCAAGGAAACTAACTGGGTTTGTGGGTTTCCTAGTTTGTGTCCAGAATATAAAGTTCTTAACTGCGGAAGAGTAAAGGTTGAATGAATGGTGCACTTAGGAAAGAGAGTCAGTGGTTTCAATGTGGATAACCTAGATACCAGTTAGAAATTCTGATGGGTAAAGAGTCTACCTAGCATTTGCTAAGCTCTGAGTTCAATGGATCCTCTGTGTGTGTGTGTGTGTGTGTGTGTGTGTGTGTGTGTGTGTGTGTGTGTGTGTGTGGAGAGAGAGAGACAGAGAGACAGATAGAGAAACAGACACACAGAGACAGAGACAGAGAGCCAGAGAGCACCCCAGGAGTGGCGGTGAAACCCTGTACTGTTAGCACCACATGAGGGGCTTGAGGCAGGCATATCTCAGATTAAGACCAGCCTGAGGCACATTTAGTTTTTAGTATTGTTATGATAAAGCATGGGGGACCAAATGTTATGATAAAGCTCAAGGGGAACCTTGGTGGATTCCATGGCAGGGGAGGGTGACCAAGGTAGGGAACAAACACGCCAGGCAGACAGAACTTAGTGAGAAGTTTTATTAGAGAGGGAAGGGGGGAGCCGGGCATTGGTGGCGCACGCCTTTAATCCCAGCACTCGGGAGGCAGAGGCAGGTGGATCTCTGTGAGTTCGAGGCCAGCCTGGTCTACAGAGTGAGTTCCAGGACAGCCTCCAAAACAATGCAGAGAAACCCTGTCTCGAAAAACCAAAAAAAAAAAAAAAAAAAAAAAAAAAAAAAGAGAGAGAGGGAAGGGGGGAGAGAAAAGAGGTAGAGAGACACAGAGATAGAGGACAGAAGAGACGAGGGAGACAGAGAAAGTCCTGGCTGCTCCAGGGGAACAGCAGGAAAGAGAGGGAAAGAGAGCATAAGTGGGCTGAGGTCTTTCTTTGAAAGGGGTCCTTTGCACCTGTGTGCTGTCTACTAATCATGGAACCCTGGGCAGGTGACAGGGGCAGGCCAGCATAATGACTGAATCCTTACAAGTACTGGCTCATGGATGTGAGGGGTGATTTGACCACAACATCCATCACCCCATTGAACTCCAAGTTGATCTGGTTGGCTATGTCTCTTTCCTGTTTTTCAACTCCATGTACATCCCTTTGTATTTGGTCAAAGAGGATAACCTTCTCCAAATAGAGGACAGGTCTTTGATAAAGTGCATAGAAATGGCTGTACCACCTTTCTAGGACCTGCAAACAAGCCAAGTCTACATAGCGGGGCCCTAGGAAGACAGGGATAGAGGGAAGAAGGGAGAAAAGAAGGGAAAATAAAAGAGGCAGGGGGAGAGTTTGTGAACACAGTGGATTAGAGGAGAAGAAAGCAGCACATTTCTGAGAACTTTTGGTTTGTGTGTGGGATAGCGTGAGATATGACTGGTGGAAGAGGGGAGTGGATGGAAAACTCAATAAGGCTGAGCTACTTGTGTTAATGCCTGGGGCACTATATATGTACGTATCTATTCAGCAGTGGTATGGGTGGAGTGGAAGCTTCCTGGGAGTTGTAGTTGAATGAGGCGCTCTGCCAAGGCAGGGCTGATTTGGTACGAGATAGGACTAAGTTCACAGATTCTTAGAAAGAACAGGAGGCCGGGTGGTGGTGGCACACGCCTGTAATTCCAGTACTCCAGAGGCAGAGGCAGGTGGATCTCTGTAAGTTCCAAGCCAGCCTGCCAGCCTGGTCTACAAAAGCTAGTTCCAGGATAGCCACCAAAGCCACAAAGAAACCCTGCCTCGAAAGATAAAAAAAAAAAAAAAAGAATGGGGAATCAGTAGTTAGGTTCTAGAAAGGGTATATTTTAGGGGAGTCAGAAGTTAGTCCCAGGGCCTGTTAACAGCCAATGACCAATATAGGCCTACAGCTGAGAACTTCCTGAAGTAGTTCTTTTGTTTTGTTGGCATTGTCTCTTTTCTTTGGGGGGGATTGTGGGAACACCAGACCTTGAGCAGAGACCCACTTCCCCTTCTGCCTGGGAGTAGGCAGCTGTAAGACAATGTTTACTAAAAACAATACAATGCCTGGGGGCATTAAGTTCCTGGAAAAGGCCTGCCCAAAGAAACCACCCTGAGCTCGACCTTGTCCAGAGACTAACCGCCTCTTCTGCCACGCCCAGATCAGTTTCTGGGGTCAGAGCAGAACCAGCCAGGGTAGAGGGGAGAGCAGAAGCTTCTCTGGTGGGAGCCTTTCTTAGGAAGTTTTCTTGAACCTTTTTGGGGCCTGCTTAAAGTTTTCTTTACATCGTTGAACGAGTCTCTGTGTTGTCAATCCCCGACACCCTCCGCACGTTCTCAGACACAGGCCGCGCAACAGACGCGACAGGGGATTTCATGTAGTCCACCTTAGTTCCCACATAGTTTCCACATAGCTGAGGATGGCCTTAAACTCCCCATCCTCCAGCTCCCACATTCAGAGTGATAAGATTACAGGCATGCGCCATTAGAACCAGTGTAACAACTTTATTTTTGAGACAGGGCTTCTCTGTGTAGCCCTGGCTGTCCTGGAACTAGCTCTGTAGACCAGGACGGCCTTGATCTTGCAAAGATCCACCTGCCTCTGCCTCCCGAGTGCTGGGATTAAAGGTATGAGCCACCACTGCCCAGCATGGCTATTTTATTTATTTATTTATTTTTAGAATTTATTTGTTTTATATGTATATGTGTGTTCTATTTGCATCAGCACCTTTATGCCATCCTGCTAGAGATGGTTGTGAGCCACAATGTGGAAGCTGGGAATTGAACTCTAGACCTCTGGAAGAGCAGTCAGTTCTCTTAACCACTGAGTCATCTCTCTAGCTCTGGATACTTTATTTTTAAAGATTTATTTCAGATATATTTAGTTGGTATATGTTTTGCCTGGATATATGTGTACAACATGCGTGTCTGATACCTACGGAATTCAAAGAGACTCCAGGATTTCCTGGAGCTGGAGTTATACATGACTTGTGAGCCACTATGTGGTTGCTGGAAACCGAACCCAGGTACTCTGCAGGAACAAGTGTGCTCTTAATCGCTGAGCCATCTCTTCAGCTCTCGACGTTTCTTATTGTGTGTGTGTGTGTGTGTGTGTGTGTGTGTGTGTGTGTGTACACGCGCACTGCCATGGTGCATGTGTGGAGGTCAGAGAACAACTTGTGGGAAATCAATTGTCTCCTTCAACTAGGTCCTGGAGATTTACTAAGATAGTCAAGCCGAGTGGCAAGTGCCTCTATCTTGCTGGCCTTTTATTTTGAAACAGAATCTCTCTTTGCAACCCTGGATAGTCTGGAACTCAATCTGATGCCTAGGCTGGCCTTGATCTGAAGGTGATCTTCCTGCTTCAGAATCTTGAGCGCTGGAATTACAGGCACGAGCCAGGGATAGGGTCTCACTATGCAGCTCAAGCGGACACTGATCTCCATTCTTCTGCATTAAACTTTGGGGTGCTGATATGGCAGGCCTGAAGCAGTCAACTGGCTAAAGAGGTGGTGAGCTTTCAAAACCCAGCTCTCCGTGAACCTTCGGCCAGTATACCAGGACTCTGAGCGTGTAAGACTCCCTAGGTGTTGTCCACTTCGGTCCTAATCCAGGATCCCCCTTTGCTTGGACGCAGCTGTCAGCGCGTCATCATCCCGCGCCGCCGCGCCTCGGGCATCATCTGGCCCCGCCCGCCCGGCGTCCCCGCTCCTGTCAGAGCCGGCTCCAGTCATGGTGCTGCCCAGTATTTTGTAAGTTGGCAGCGGAGGCTCGGGACGTGGCGCAGGTCCCGATGGCGGCGGCGGCCCTGGCGGCGGTCCTGGCGGCGGCCGACCCTGCACCCGCGGTGCCGCAGGCAGCGGGGAGCGGAGGTCCGACCTCGCGCCGAGACTTCTACTGGCTGCGTTCCTTCCTGGCCGGAGGTAGGTGTCCGCCTCCGGGACCTGGGGTGGCTTGGAGAAGCCGGGCCGCCGGCAGGTCAGAGCCAGCGGCCGCGGTGACAACTCGGGACTTCTGCTACGCCCAGCCGGGCGTTTATCTCAGCCTCTCCCGCCCGGTCTAATCCCTCCACTGGCCCCCAGGGACATGCAGAACCGAGCGCCTGCGCTCCCAATGGTCGAAAAGAAAAGGTTCCCTTAGGTGGGACGTGATGGGCACCCCTTTCTCTTGCAAATAACATGAGTGACAGCGTAGGTTTGGATTTTAGGAAACAAATATTGGGCATGGAGGCCAGCTTGCTCTCGTTCCCCCTTCCCGTGTGTGTGTGTGTGTGTGTGTGTGTGTGTGTGTGTGTGTTAGAGAGGAGAGAGGTGAGTTGAGAATAAGACCCTATTTCATGTAGCCCCATCCCCACCCCGGTCTCCTTATGTAGCTGAAGCTGGCTTCGAACTCATTCTCTTGCCTCTACCTTCCAAGTAGTGGAATTACAGGCGTGTGCCACTATTACCAGTCTCTGGAGGCCAGTTTTTAAAAATAGACTAGGGCCGGGCGTTGGTGGTGCAGGCCTTTAATACCAGCACTCGGGAGGCAGAGGCAGGCGGATCTCTGTGAGTTAGGGGCCAGCCTGGTCTACAGAGCAAGGACAGCCTCCAAAACAATACAGAGAAACCCTGTCTCAAAAAACCAAAAAAAAAAAAAAAAAAAAAAAAAAAAAAGACTAGGATATGATCTGTTACGTGCAGTCAGTCTGAGCCCTTTGGATGCAGAGGCAGGCAGATCTTTGAGATAAACCTGGTCTACATAGCAAGTTCCTGGCAAGATAGGAATGCATAGTGATACCGTGTCTCAAAAACAAAACTTAGCTGGCGGTGCTGGCGCAGGCCTTTAACCCCAGTACTTGGGAGGCAGAGACAGGCAGATCTCTGTGAGTTCGAAGCCAGCCTGGTCTACAGAGTGAGTGCCGGGGAACAGAGAAAACCTGTCTTGAAAAGCAAAGCAAAACAAAACACCCTGAAATGCCTGGGGGTATTGTGCAAAACTGCCTATGACCAAAACTGGTTCCAACAAGCTGCAACTGCTTGAAAACAAGTACTGTGGCTGAGGTTGCAAGACCAGAAAGTTTACACGTCTCAAATTTCCTCTTCCTTTGTGTGTGCAGATGTTTCTCTACCTCCCCACAACGATTTTTTGTTTTTGTTTTTGTAGACAAGGTTTCTCTGTGTTGCTTTGGAGCCTGTCCTGGAACTCCATCTGTAGACCAGGCGGGTCTTGAACTCACAAAGATCAGCCTGCCTCTTCCTCCCGAGTGCTGGGATTAAAGGCACGTGCCACCAATGCCTGTCTGTTGATTCACTGAGTTGCCATCTCTTAATTATTTATCTGACAATTAAAAAGATACCCACATCATGAGGACTTGTGGAAAAATCATATCCATAGCTTGTAGTGATATTGAGAATGTAATTGTTTTCTTCTGCAGATTGAAAAGACATCTCTTAGTTCCAGCACTCAGGAGGCAGAGGCAGGTGGATCTATGTGAGTTCGAGGCCAGCCTGATCTACAAAGTGAGTTCCAGTACAGCCAGGGCTACACAGAGAAACCTGTCTCAAAACAAAACAAAACAAAACGAAATCTCCTTATTTGTATTGGAACAACTGAGTTCTAATTAGGTGCCTACTTTGACCTTTGTGTGTGTGTGTGTGTGTGTGTGTATATATATATATATATATATATATATTGTGTGTGTGTGTGTGTGAACAAAAGAAATTTTGGCTGTCATAGTGGCACATTCTAATCCCAGTACTTTGGGAAGCAAAGGTGGGTAGATATCTGTGAATTCAAAGCCAGCCTGGTCTACAAGAGCAAGTACCAGGACAGCCAGGAATACACAGTGAGACCCCATCTCAAAAAAAAAAGAAAGAAAAGAAAAGTTGGGCTTTCATTTCAGGGTCAATGGTGGCCAAGCAAAGGCATAATGTAAGCAACAGCTAGAGCTCACATCCTGATCTGTAAGCACACGCAAATATTATGAAGACTTTCCTACTAGAGCCAGGCATGGGGTTCATACCTCTACAACACTTGGAAGGTAGGAACACAAAGTCTGCCTCAGCTACATATCAAGTTTGAAGCCAGCCTAGACTAGACTACATGAGACTCTGTTTCAGAACCCTGCCACCACTACCTACTGCACTAACATGAGAACCTGAGTAAAACCTGGGCATGGTGGCGTCAGCCTGTAACCTAGCATTGGCAGACCGGAGCAGGCAGATCTCTGTTGCTTACTGATCAACCACCCTAGCTAATTAGTGAGCTCCAGGGAAAGACTGGCTTAAAACCTAAGGTGGATGGCCAGTCATTGTAGTTGGAATTTTCTTTGGGTCACCAACCAGCTCCCAAATGAAGACACAGAGACTTATTAATTATGACTGCTTAGCCTCAACTTATGGTTCTCTCTCTCTCTCTCTCTCTCTCTCTCTCTCTCTCTCTCTCTCCCTCCCTCCCTCCCTCCCTCCCTCCCTCCCTCCCTCCCTCCCTCCCTCCCTCTCTCTCTCTCTCTCTCTCTCTCTCTCTCTCTCTCTCTCTCTCTCTCTCCAAGACAGAGTTTCTCTGAGTAGCGCTGGTTGTCCTGGAACTCGATTTGTAGACCGGGCTGGCCTTGAACTCACAGAGATCCACCTGCCTCTGCCACCTGAGTGGTGGGATAAAAGGTGTGCACCACCCACTCCTGTTCTTTTTTTCTTGAGACAGGAACTTTGTATATAGCCCTGTATCGCTGGGTGGCGTGTGCCACCACTGCCTGGTGCCTGTCTCATCTTTCTGAGGACGACCTCTCTCTGTAGTGCAAACTGGCCTAGAAGCCTGTATCTGCAGCAAAGGGAACGCCTCTTTACTCCCAAAGGCTGGTGTGTGCTATCATGTCCTCCATTGGATCGTCTGAGGGTTTTAAGTAACTTCCTGTAACACGTCTCTGTTTCCATGCATACCGTGTGCCAGTGCAACAGTTCCGGCACCAAATGCATACTTGCTGCATTGTACATGAATGATTGATTTCATGGGCAATGGTTGTTTTGATGTTTATTGAAAAATGTATTCTAGAAGAAGAGTTTCAAATAGAACTTCCCGGTTGGGTAACTCATCAGACACTGGGTACTGCATTGCTGTATACTCTTGGAACTTGTTTTGAAGTTACAGAGAATGGGGGCCAATCATCTGCATAACCCTATTACTAAGCAACTCTACCCATGGGAACCAAACTGAACTATAGTTGAGGTACTGACTGGACCTGTGATGATTTCCCTTCAGGAAGAGATGGTATCCAGATTCTTTCCATTTTCTCTTAGGTATTGCTGGGTGCTGTGCCAAAACCACAGTTGCTCCTTTGGATCGAGTAAAGGTCTTATTACAAGCTCACAACCACCATTACAAACATTTAGGTGAGTTGCAGATGCTGTTCTGGTGTGGGTTTCTATTGCTGTCATGAAACACCATGACCCAAAGAACGCTGGGGAGGAGAGGGTTTATTTGCTTATGCTGAAGGAAGTCAGAAACTCTAACAGGGCAGGAACCTGGAGGCAGGAGCTGATGCAGAGGCCATGGAGGGGTGCTGCTTACTGACTTGTTTCTTATGGCTTGCTCAGTGTACTTTCTTAGAGAAGCAGAGACCACCTGTCCAGGAATGGCACCTGTCACAATGGACTGGGCCCTCCCCTATCAATCGCTGATTCAAAATATACCTTACAGGTCTGCCTACAACCATATTTTATGGAGGCATTTTCTCAATTGAGCCTCTCCTCTCATTTGACTCTATCTTATGTCAAGTTGACATAAAAACTAGCAAGAACAGATGCTAAAGATGAAAAGGGATGAAACTTTACCTTTTTTTTTTTTTTTTTTTTTTTTTTGGGTTGTGGTTAGAGACAGGGTTTCTCTGTGGCTTTGGAGGCTGTCCTGGAACTAGCTCTTATAGACCAGGCTGGTCTCGAACTCACAGAGATCCGCCTGTCCCTGCTTCCCGAGTGCTGGGTTTAAAGGCGTGTGCCACTGCCACCTGGTTATCTACTTGTTTTCTTGTAGAGAGAGGAGTAAAAGTGAATTATGGGGACAAGCTTTGCAATGTCTCCCTTTTTCTTTTAATATTTATTTTTATTTTTTTATTTTTATTTTTTTGGTTTTTTCGAGACAGGGTTTCTCTGTGGCTTTGGAGGCTGTGCTGGAACTCGCTTGGTAGTCCAGGCTGGTCTCGAACTCACAGAGATCCACCTGCCTCTGCCTCCCGAGTGCTGGGATTAAAGGCGTGCGCCACCAACGCCCGGCTTTAATATTTTTTTTAACTAGACCTCCCCTATGCCTCTCTAGTTCTTGTCTTAGCCACCCAAATAACGAGTATAGGCATGAATCCCCATAACTTCTTTTACCTATTTTACTTAATTTTTTGTTTTTTCAATAACAAGATCTCACTGTAGCTTAGGCTAGCCTAGAATTCACTCTGTAGCACAGATTCGCCTCAGATTCATGGCAGTCCTCTGTCTCAGCCCTGAGTGCTGATGTTCCTGGAGTGTACCACCATGCACAGTTTATTGTGAATGATTTGTGAATTGAAGTTTATCATAAGCATGTTTGTACAGGAAAGACATAGTATCCCTGGGGTTTGATACTATTTGAAGTTTCAGATATCTACTGGGTATCTTGGCACATACTCCAGTGGATACTGCTAATTGGATTAGTGATTCATGTTGATAATTTGTTTTTTTTTTTTTTAATATTTTATTATGTATACAGCCTTCTGCCTGCATGCCAGCAGAGGGCACCAGATCTCATTCAAGGTGGTTGTGAGCCACCATGTGGTTTCTGGGAATTGAACTCAGGACCTCTGGAAGAACAGTCAGTGTTCTTAACCACTGAGCCTTCAGCCCCTATGTTGATAATTTGTAAAGATATCCACCAGTGGAGTAGAGCTAAGTCCTTTGTTTGTCAGTATTTCCAAGGGAAAAGTATCCTCACATTAAGCAATTGCAGTTAGTAGACTTTTTATTTTTTATTTTTTATTTTTGGGTTTTCAAACAAGTAGCTCTGGCTGTCCTGGAACTCACTCTGTAGACCACGCTAGCCTTAAACTCAGAGATCCTCCTGCCTCTGCCTCCAGAATGTTGAGATTGAAGGCATTCACTACCACCTCCTCGATGACTTTAAATTTTTGTTTTTGGTGCTGATTATTGAACCTGGTACCTCAGACATGCTAAGCAAGAGCTCTGCTACTCAGCTCTCCCACAGTACCTAGTACCCAGAGATGTGTGTTCCTGCTGCTCCCTTTTCCCTTGTTCTGTTCTTTTTTTCATTATTTTCATTTTTTGTTTTTTTACTATTTTATTTTATTTTATTGGTGTTTTGAGACAGGGTTTCTCTGTGGCTTTGGAGGCTATCCTGGAACTCACTCAGTAGACTAAGCTGGTCTCGAACTCACAGAGATCCGCCTGCCTCTGCTTCCCAAGTGCTGGGATTAAAGGCGTGTACTACCATGTCCATCTCGGTGGTAAAGCTTATGTATATGATTTAGACAAATGGTGCAGTTTAACTGTTTTGTAGAAAGTACCACTTCCATTGTTGGCTGGAGAGATGGCTCAAAGGTTGAAAGCTTAGAGGACCTGGGTTCAGTTCTCAGCACCCACACAGTGGCTCATGATCATCTATGGCTCCAGTTCCAGGGCATCCAACACCCTCTTTTGAACTTTTTGGGCACCTGTCACTCATGTAATGCATACACATGTAGGCAAAACAGTTGTGTACATGAAATAAAATAAATAAATTATTAGAAAAAGAGAAGTTACCATTTGTGGCCAGGCACGATGGTGCATACGAATAATCCTAGCACTTGAGAGGTGGGGGTGGGAGGATCAAGACTCAAGGTCATTCATGACTGTGCAGTGTGTTTGAGGCCAGCCTGGGTTGTAGGAGAACCTCTCTAAGAAAACAAAGCAAAACACTCATGAAATCATGTCAGTCCCTGTCAGTGTTTTCTATGAAAATGTGAATTTAGATACGTTTATTGGAGGGGGAGCACTGAGACATACTGTTCTTTATGTTGGCCTCAAACTTACATGCCCAGTTGGCCTTGAGTATGCCATCTTCCTCCCTTAGCCTCCCTATGTGGAGATTACAGTTAGGAAAAAGAACATGACAGGGGTCCAGCTGATGGCATGGGTCTTTAATCCTGTATCCAGAGGGCAGGGGCATGCAGAACTCTGTAAATGGCAGGCTAGATGGAGCTACATAATGAGACCCTGTCACAAAACACCACACCACACACCCACACCCACCCACCCACACATACACACACCCCACACTACCATACCATACCACACACACCACACCACATACAAACACACAACAAAAACAAAGAAGAAAGAAAGAAAAGAAAAAACAAAAATGAAGGCCAACGAGAGGGATCAAACGCTCAGTGGATCAAATGCTTGCCATATAAGCCTAATGACTTGAGTTTGATCACCAGAACCCATACAAATATGGAAGGAGAGAACTGGCTCTTCACAGTTGTCCCCTGACTCCACACATGCACAGTGACATGAGCACACCAGTGTGTACACATTCTCAAGCACATACGCAATAATAAATACATGCTAACAGAAAAAAAAAAGGAGAACAAACCAGTTAAGAAAGATTACAGGGCCGGGCGTTGGTGGCGCACGCCTTTAATCCCAGCACTTGGGAGGCAGAGGCAGGCGGATCTCTGTGAGTTCGAGACCAGCCTGGTCTACAAGAGCTAGTTCCAGGACAGCCTCCAAAGCCACAGAGAAACCCTGTCTCGAAAATCAAAAAAGAAAAAAAAAAAAAAAAAAAAAAGATTACAGATGTGAGCCACATGCCTGGCTCAGAGTTAGATAGTTTTCATGACTTTAATAGTGTTTTTCTTCTAAACTCTTTCCATAAATAGGGGTACTTTCTGCACTGCGTGCTGTTCCCCAAAAAGAAGGATACCTTGGATTGTATAAAGGAAATGGTGCAATGATGATTCGAATCTTTCCCTACGGTGCAATTCAGTTCATGGCATTTGAGCATTACAAAACGGTAGTTGGATTTTTCTCTCTTTCATTTCTTTCTTTTTTAAAGATTTGTATATTTAATTATGTATACAGTAAATATTTATTATGTACAAATGCATGCCAGAAGAGGGCACCACATCTCATTACAAATGACTGTGAGCTGCCATGTGGTTGCTGGGAATCGAACTCAGGACCTCTGGAAGAGCAGCCAGTGCTCCTAACCTGAACCATCTCTCCAGCCCTGTCTTTCATTTCCTGTAATATTAGTTTAATATCAGACGTTTGTTTTGTGTGTGTGTGTGTGTGTGTGTGTGTGTGTGTGTGTGTGGTAGCCTGTACGTGCTATGGTGTACGTGTGGAAATCAGAGAACACGTGTGGAAGTCCTTGCATCATGTGGGTCCCATGGTTTGGACTCAAGTTATCAGGCTTGGTGGCAAGTTCCTCTACTGCTGAGCCATCTTGTAGGCCCATACATCTTCTGTTGTTTTGAAACTCCCTTATGTAAAGCACAGGCTGGGTTTGAGTGGATGATCATTTGCCTCTGCCTCCCAACTCCAGGGAGTTAAGTACACAGTGTGTCACCATGCTCTGCACTGGATTTTTTTCTGGTACTGGGGATTGAGCCTAGGACCTTGTGCCTACTGGTGGTGACCTGGGTGCTATGAATCAAGTGCATTCTGTTCTGTTTATGTGGCAAACACTTTCCCAACTGAACCATCTTTTCATTTCCTCTTTGAGATGGGGCCTGGAATTTACTATGTAAGGCTAGCCTGGAGTTTACTGTGTACGCAGCGCTGGCTTTGAACTCCCAATCTTCCCTCCTCTCCTCCCAAGTGCTAGAATTGTAAGCATATACCACCATGCCCAGTTCAAAAGTGTCTTTCAAAACGATAAAGGAGGGTTAGTGTGGTGGCTCAGAGGCAAGGGTAACTTAAGATTGCTGTCAGGAAATTCCTTGTTCTCTGGAAAACTCAAATATTAATGTTAACACAGAAATTTTTAACTTATTGTATGCATACTGGGAAAGGCAACCCTAAAGAAGATAATAAACATTAAGGAGATTAGAATTTTAGAAAAAGAAAAGAAAAACAATTTTTGTTTGTTGTTGTTGGTTTTTTTTTTTTCATTTTTTTTTTCTGAGACAGGGTTTCTCTGTGGCTTTGGAGTTTGTCCTGGAACTACTTCTTGTAGACCAGGCTGGTCTCAAACTCACAGAGATCCACCTGCCTCTGCCTCCCGAGTGCTGGTATTAAAGGCGTGCGCCACCACCGTCCAGCTTCATTTTTAAAGTAATTTTAAAAAGATTATTTTATGTGTCTAAGTGTTTTGTCTTTACATATGTGTGTGTACTGTGAATGTCTGGTGCCTATAGTAGCCAGAAGAGAGCGCTGTGTCTCCCGGAACTGCAGTGGTGAACAGTGAGTGGGGGAACTGAATCCATCTCCTCTACAAGAGCAGCAAATGCTCTTGACCTCTAAGCCATCTCTCTGGCTCTTCTAACTTTATTTTAACAGTAGAATAGAATCTCATTTAATTTAGTGTTTTTGGTTTCTAGTTCATTACTACAAAGCTGGGAGTTTCTGGTCATGTGCACAGATTGATGGCTGGATCCATGGCAGGTAAGATGAATACATTTTACATTTGATAAGTAAGTTTTCTTTATATTAAAGTGCTGCTGGGCATTGGTGGCGCAAGCCTTTAATCCTAGCACTCGTGAGGCAGAGGCAGGTGGATCTCTGTGAGTTTGAGCCCAGCCTGATCTACAGAGTGAGTGCCAGGACAGCCTCCAAAACAATACAGAGAAACCCTGTCTTGAAAAAACGAAAATATAAACAAAATAAAGTGCTTAATTTTGGGGACTATAGAGATGGCTAAGCAGTTAAGATTTTTTCTGCTCTTTGTGTAGCTTTGGCTATTCTAGGATCTGCTCTGCCTCAGCCTCCATTGTACTGACATCAAAGGTGTTGAACCACTACCCCCGGGTTTTGTTGTTGTTTTTGTTTTTTGAGACAGGGTTTCTCTGTATAGTCTTGATTTTCCTGGAACTCACAATGTATACCAGGCTAGCCTTGAACTCAGAGAGTTCTTGTATGTGTGTTTCATTTTGTTTGGTTGCCTGAGACAGCCTTACTATATAGCTCTGGCTATCCTGGACTCACAGAAATCTTCCTGCCTCTGCCTCCCCAGTGGTGGAATGTGAGTAAATTCTGACTATTACAATCTGTGTCTTGGTTTGTGCTTATAACCTGCATGCGTTGGGAAGTGGCCTCATGGCCTCATACAGCTCTCTAGTCCAAGGCTGCAAACATGCCAGGCAAGTACTTTTTTTTTTTTTTTTTTTATTTCCCAAGGCAGGGGTTCTCTGTGGCTTTGGAGGCTGTCCTGGAACTCGCTCTTGTAAACCAGGCTGGTCTCGAACTCACAGAGATCCGCCTGCCTCTGCCTCCCGAGTGCTAGGATTAAAAGCATGTGCCACCAACGCCCGGCTCTAATGAGGTTCTTTAATCAAGAGCTTTTGCCAACATAGAGGTGCCTGCCTACAATTCTAGCATTCTGGAGGCTGAGACATGAGGGTGACTGAAACTTGGTGGCCAGCTGGCTATATAGTAAAATACTGTCAAAAAAGCAAAGAATAGCCAGACAGTGGTGCTGCACGCCTTTAATCCCAGCACTTGGGAGGCAGAGGCAGGTGGATCTCTGTAAGTTCAAGACCAGCCTGGACTACCAAGGGAGTTCCAGGACAGCCTCCAAAGCCACAGAGAAACCCTGTCTCGAAAAAACCAAAAAAGAAAAAAAAAAAAGAAAAGAGAACCAGCCCCCCAATTATTTTGAATTACATTTATTTAGTTGTATTTGTGTGTGTGTGTGTGTGTGTGTGTGTGTGCCCATCGATATGTCCCTGTTTTTACATTTGTGGTTCTGTTCTTTCCAGGCATGACAGCAGTTATCTGCACTTACCCACTCGATGTGGTTAGGGTGCGTCTAGCCTTCCAGGTGAAAGGAGAGCACACCTACTCAGGGATCATTCATGCGTTCAAGACAATTTATGCTAAGGTATTTTATCCAACTTCCCTAATTTATAGCATGTGTTCTTATATTTAGGAAAACACTGAAGGCTATCTACCTTTTCCTTTATTTGGAATTAATGATGCTAATTTAGGGTGTAGATTAGTGGAAAAGCATTTGACTACCCTGCTCAGGTCTAGTACCACAAGAAAAAGAGAGAGTGGAGGAGGGAGTGAGGGAGGGAGGGAGGACACTGTTAATGGTCACAGCAGTAATAATCTTGAGAAGTCTATATTTGTGTTTCCGGTGAGTTCTGGGGTTGTTTCTATTATATCATATGCTTTTATTATGATGTTCATCATAATGAATATGACATAATCTAATTTTCTTCATTTAAAGGAAGGTGGTTTCCTTGGATTCTACAGAGGTCTGATGCCTACTATATTAGGAATGGCTCCATATGCAGGTATGATTCAAATTGGGCTAGGAAGGTGGTGCACATCTGTAATCCTCAGGCAGAGGCAGGTGGATCTCTGTGAGTTCAAGGCCAGCCTAGTCTACAGAGTGAGTTCTGGGACAGCTCTGTCTCGGGGAAAAAAAAAAAAAAGAAAGAAAGAAAAAAAAAATAAAAAGTCTTGTAGCCCATGCTGGCCTCAGTACATTGTCTCTGTTTATGTTTATGAGTGTTTTGCCTGTGCATGTATATGTACCCCGCATGTGTGCTTATTGTCCTTGGAGGCCAGAAGAGGGCTACAGACAGCTGTAAGGCACCATGGGCTGGGCGCTGGGTCCTTTGCAAGAACCGCATATGCTCTTATGACTAAACGGTTTCTCCAGTCCTAAAAGTGTCTTTTTTTTTGTTTGTTTAGTTTTGTTTTTCGAGACAGGGTTTCTCTATATTGTCTTGGAGGCTGTCCTGGAAACTCGATTTGTAGACTAGGCTGGCCTCCAACTCACAGAGATCCGCCTGCCTCTGCCTCCCGAGTGCTGGAATTAAAGGCGTGCGCTACCATCGCCCAGCCTAAAAGTGTCTTTTAATGACTAACAATTCAATTGTTTTTTGATAGCAGCTTTTTTGAGTTTTGTCTAGAACACAGTAGAATTTGTCCATCTAAGTGTCAGTTTCATTGGTTTTTAGTTGATTTTAGATCTATAGCCATCAATTTGACATCTTCTTTCACCCATAGTTAGGACTCTCAAGTCTAAACAACCATTAATCTTTACATCTCAATCATTGTGACTGACTCCTTTGCTTGTGTGTTTTTAAGTTTTAATGTGTTGGAGACATACCGTATCTTCTTGTTTTTGCTGTGGTATTGTTTTGTATGAATTCATATTTATTTTGAGACAGGGTCTCACGTACCCCAGTCTAGCCTTGAACTTGCTATGTAGCTGAGAATGACCTTGAAATCCTCATCTTCTTGCTTGGGACTCCCAAGTGCTGGGGTAACAGGTGGGTTCCACTGAGCCTGTCTTTTATGTCTTTATAGTTAAAATTTTTTTTATTACATCTATTTATTTGGCTGGAGAGATAGCTCAGTGGTTAAGAGCACTGGCTGCTCTTCTAGAGGACCCGGGTTCAAATCCCAGCACCCACATGGCAGTTCACAACTGTTTATAATGAGATCTCATGCCCTTGTCTAGTCTGCAGGCATGCATGCAGACAGAGCACTGTATACGTAATAAGTAAATAGAGTAAAAGATTTATTTACTTTATGTATATGAGTACTCTATCTGCATATACAACTTTATGTGAGAAAGGGGCACCAGATCTCAGTATAGATGGTTGTGAGCCACCATGTGGTTGCTGGGAATTGAACTCAGAACCTCTGGAGAAGAGCAACCAGTGCTCTTAACCTCTGAGCCATCTCTCCAGCCCAAATAAATGAATCTTAAAAAACAAAACAAAAAAAACCATACATCTATTTATTTTATATTTGTTTTGTTTTGTTTTGTTTTTTGAGACAGCGTTTCTCTGTGTAACAGCCTGGCTGTCCTAGAACTCATTCTGTAGACCAGGCTGGTCTTGAACTTACTGAGATCCACCTGCCTCTGCCAGCCTATTGCTGGAATTAAAGGTGTGCTTTGATTACATCTCTTTATTGTGTGCATGTGTGTATAAAATTATGAATTATGGACTTGATGTGGTGATGTGTACCTTTAGCCTCAGCCCTTGAGAGGCTAGGGCCAGCCTGGTCTACATAGTGAGTTCCTCCAGACCAGCCAGGATGACATAGTAAGATTCTGTCTTAGAACTCCCACAAGCGTGAATTATGAGTTTAAATTTCACTCAGTTTAAACCTTGGAATACTACATAATTCTACTCCTATATGATACTAAATTGTATTCACTACTGCCCCATCAATGCACAGTATATTATTAGTGTGTGAAAACCAATGTTACTTTTTTTTTTTTTTTTTTTTGGTTTTTCGAGACAGGGTTTCTCTGTGGCTTTGGAGGCTGTCCTGGAACTAGCTCTTGTAGACCAGGCTGGCCTCGAACTCACAGAGATCCGCCTGCCTCTGCCTCCCGAGTGCTGGGATTAAAGGCGTGCGTGCGCCACCAATGCCCGGCCCCATGTTACATTTTTGATAAGTGGTAGTATCTTTGAATTAGTATTTGTAGATATTAATTAAATATCTTCTATTAAGGCAATTATCATAGACTAGGAAATGCATACTTGGTTTCTTCAGTTAACGTGTTATGATGTAAGGAAGGTCTTTTTCTCGGTTCTTGTTATGGTGAGTTCATATTTTGCTTTTCAGGTGTGTCCTTTTTTACCTTTGGTACCTTGAAGAGCGTTGGGCTTTCGTATGCTCCCACCCTGCTTGGCCGACCTTCATCTGACAACCCCAATGTCTTAGTTTTGAAAACTCACATAAACTTACTTTGTGGTGGTGTTGCTGGAGCAATAGCACAGACGATATCGTAAGTGTCTCAACTTCAGGTGCCATTTCTTCAGATGCCACTCTTAGTCATCTTATTCTCTTTCCACAATGAAATATAACTTGATTTTGATATGTATTAAATACTTTTTTCAGATATGCCTTCATCATAGTATATTATAGGTAATTACATGCCAATGGTTAATTATATTAATCTAAGTCCTATGGATTCATTTGAATAAAAGCAAGAGAATCACTTAAACATGATGATTCATTTGTTCTCATCAATTTGCCAACAAGAAGTTTCTCAAGTTTAAGTCATCGTGTGTGTGTGTGTGTGTGTGTGTGTGTGTAAAAACTAGTATATGAATCACTGTAAGATTCACCAAAGGAAAAATAAAATTGCTGGCTCAGCAATCCCTGTCTTCTGTTTAGGTTTTGTTTTTATTTTTATTTTTGTATATATGTGGGTTTGTGCATAAGGGTACAGCTCCAGAGGCCAGAAGAGGGTGTCAGGTCTGGAGCTGGCATTACAGGTGTTTGTGAGCCGCCTGACGGGGGTGGTGCTTGGACTGAACTCAGGTTCCCTGAGCAGGAGCAAGCATTCTTTTTGTTTTTACTTTCTGTGTGTGTGTGTGTGTGAGAGAGAGAGAGACAGAGAGACAGAGAGACAGAGAGACAGAGAGACAGACAGAGAGAGACAGAGAGACTTCCCTTTCCTCACAACTGACTCCCAGCTTAACCTGTCTTCTTTTTCTCTCCATTTCCCCTCCTGAGACAGGATCTTTTGTAATCAAATATGGTCTCAAACTTGTCATGTAGCTGAAGATGGCTTTCAACTTCAGATCTTCCTGCCTCCACCCTCAAAAGTGCTGAACTGTGTAGCTAGTCTTTTAATCAGACCTTCTTTGGACCACCAGACCCCAAATAATGACATGGAGGCATTATTAATCATGAAACCTTGGCTTTTAGCTTACGCTTGTTCCCAACTAGCTCTTATAAATTAAATTAACCTGTTTCTATTAATCTGTGTTCTGTCATGTGACTTTTTACCTCTTCTCCATTCTGCACATCCTAATCCCTCCACTTCTCCCTGATGACTCCTGAAGCACCAGATTCTTCTAACCCTGAGTTCCTCTTTAGGCCTGGAAGTCCTACCTATTCTCTGCTGCTCTTTATTAAACTAATCAGGTGCCTTAGGCATGTGAGTCAGTACATAGACACATCTTCATGCAACAGGAATGCCCAGTGGATATGGGATTTTGGTTTCAATGGTTGTCAAATAGCAAACGAGAGTTTACTTTTAAGTATTTAATTTTTCTGTTTCTTTAGCTACCCATTTGATGTGACCCGTCGGAGAATGCAGTTAGGAACAGTCCTACCGGAGTTTGAAAAGTGCCTGTAAGTGTTCTTTTTTTTTTTCTTTTTTTTTTTTTTTTTGGTTTTTCAAGACAGGGTTTCTCTGTATTGTTTTGGAGGCTGTCCTGGAACTCACTCTGTAGACCAGGCTGGCCTCGAACTCACAGAGATCCGCCTGCCTCTGCCTCCCGAGTGCTGGGATTAAAGGCGTGCGCCACCAACGCCTGGCTGCCTGTAAGTGTTCTAATGTCTAACTATTCATAATCTTTGGAAATGTAATGTTTTCTCTTTTGTTTGTTTCTTTTTGTTTTTTCAGAACAGGCTTTCTTTGTGTAACAGCCCTGGCTGTCCCAGAACTCACCCTGTAGACCAGGCTGGCCTCGAACTCACAGAAATCTGCCTGTCTCTGCCTCCTGTGTGCTGGGATTAAAGGTGTGCACCACCACTGCCTGGCCTGTGATTTTCCTTTCTTTAATTTCAAGTTCATGAGATGAGGGTGTGAGCCTTTTAACTGGCTTCTTGGTTGGTCCGTTGGTAGTTGAGACAGGGTCTTACTATATAGTACAAGCCTGGCCTTGGCCATACACTATCCTTCTTTGCCCTGCTGCAGGCGGTGGTTACAGGCATGGACTGCCCTCTGCTTAGGAAATGTGATTTGTTTTGTTTTGGTTTTGGTTTTGGTTTTTGAGACAGGGTTTCTCTGTGACTTTGGAAACTGTCCTGGAACTAGCTCTTGTAGACCAGGCTGGTCTCAAACTCACAGAGATCCACCTGCCTCTGCCTCCGAATGCTGGGATCAAACACATGTGCCACCACCACCCAGCCCAGGAAATGTGATTTTTAAAGTCAGTAGGAAGAGAGGACTCTTGTCTCGCCAACAGTCTTGAAAGCCGGTCTCCCCGAGCTTCAGTCCTGCATCACCAAGCAATGAGACAAAAGAGTGGAGACTCATACAGCCTTTGCTTCCATCAGTGGGATGTGGTACAGATGGCACAGGAGACCGCACTAAGGAGCCTGCAAGTGCTCTGTAGGATGCTTGCCTTTCTTTGGAGTGACTCCATTTCTCATTGTGATGTTAGTACATGTAACCCTTGTCTTCCAAAAACTATTCCAGACAGTAGTTTAAACAAAGTTTCATATATGACATTCAGGCCACTTTTTTTTTAAAAAAAGGTTTATCTATATTATTTTATGTGTACCAGTGTTTTGCCTGTACGTAAGTCTATTCATGTCTATTCCTGGTGCCTGCTGAGGTCAGAAGAGGATATGGGTTCAACTGGGACTGGAGTTACAGATGGTTGTGGAACATCATGTGGGTGCTGGGAACCAAATCTGGGTTTTCTGGAAGAGCAAGAAGTTCTCTTAACCTGTGAGCCAACTCTTCAGGCCAGTTCTCAACTTTGATTTAGCAAAGGCTAGCCCGTAACTTCTCGTCCTCCTGTTTCTGTCTCCCAAGTGCTACCCTTATAGGTATGCACCATCTTCATGCATTCATTTGTATGTATGTATTTACATATGTAAATATTTATTGCTTTCTTTGAGATAGAATCTTTCTCTGTAGCTCAGGTTGACCTGAAACTTCTGTTTTAGCTTTTGAAGTGCTAGGATTACAGGTTTGAGCAACCACAGCCAACTAAGCTTCTTTTAAAAATGCTAATTTGAGGGGCTGGAGAGACTGCTCAGCGGTTAAGAGCACTGACTGTTCTTCCAGAGGTCCTGAGTTCAATTCCCAGGAATCGCATGGTGGCTCACAACCACCTTGAGTGAGATCTGATGCCCTCTGCTGCATGCAGGCAGAAGACTGTATCCACAATAAATAAATAAAATATTTTTAAAAAATGCTAATTTGAGCCTGGTGGTGGTAGTGGTGCACGCCTTTAATTCTAGCACTTGGGAGGCAGAGGCGGTGGATCTCTGTGAGTTCAAAGCCATCCTGGTCTACAAATCGAGTTTCAGGATAGTCAGAACTGTTACACAGAGAAACCCTGGCTCAAAAAATAACCGAACAAGCCGGGCGTGGTGGCGCACATCTTTAATCCCAGCACTCAGGAGGCAGAGGCAGGCGGATCTCTGTGAGCTCGAGACCAGCCTGGTCTACAAGAGCTAGTTCCAGGACAGCCTCCAAAGCCACAGAGAAATCCTGTCTCGAAAAACAAAAAAACAAAACCCAACCAAATAACAACAAAAACAACAACAACAAAAATGCTACTATGGGCAGGACCTGGTGGCAAAGTCCTCTTTCTCCAGCATTTGGAGGCAGAGGATTACAGTTTAAGGCCAGCCCAGACTATAGAACAAGATTTTGTCTGAAGAAATCAACCAACCAACCAACCAACAATAAACAAAGCTCTTTTGCGTTCTGAGCTTGTCTGGTCTTGCCACTCATGAATGGTTGCTACATCATTTTATCACTGTCTTTCAGTACGATGCGGGAAACCATGAAGTATGTCTATGGACACCATGGGATTCGGAAAGGATTGTATCGTGGCTTGTCTCTGAACTACATCCGCTGTATTCCCTCTCAAGCTGTGGCTTTCACAACCTATGAACTTATGAAGCAATTTTTCCACCTCAACTAAAAGGAAAAGATATGACTTGTGATGGATTTCCTCAGTCAATTCTCAGAAGGAAATATATATAAATGTTACCTTAATTGTGAGGGAAACATTACTTGAAGGGGACGTTGGCCCTGTCAGAGGAACCACTGGGGTTTTAATACTTGATGTCTGATGGTTTTTAAATCATAGATCAAAAGTGCTGAGCACAATTTTGTTTTTGTTTTCTTTTTGCTGGGATCTGGATATGTAACCCTGACTGGCTCGGAACTCACTGTGGAGACCTGGCTGGCCTCAGACTTGTGGTTATCCTCTTGCCTCTGCCTCCCAAGTACTGAGATGCTAGGCATGTGCCACCATGCCTACTCTAACATACTTGTTAATGCCAAACACTATCCCTTAGAACCCTGAAAAACCATCTTACACTGATGGTGGTAACCTGCTGATTATTTGGAAGTACTATTTGGAAGGAGAGGTAGGTTCATATTGGAGTCCAAGAGATTGTCATTAGTTTTACCACACTTAACTGTTATTGTGGTTATTGAGGTGGGGAGGGACTAGAATCAAATCTAGGGCCTTTTGCATGCCAGGTACTTGTTGTATCCACTAAACCGCATCCCAAGCCTATAATTATGATTGTCTTTTTTTCCTTTTTTTCAGTGGGGGGTGGGGAATTGAGGCCATGGCCTTGCCCGTTTGAGGCAAGTACCGTACCACTGAGCTACATCCCTGACCCTTTTCTTTTTAAGTGAGGTGCTAGGGACCAAACTCATGCATGCTGGTTGCACACTGCCCATGGCCTACACCCCAGCCCTCTGACACTGCTTGTTAGTTACCCCACCCCCTCCATCCTTCCGTTCCTTGTGCTGGGGAGTAAACTCAGGGTCTCTCTCGCCTATCTCGGTAGATAAGCACTCTACCTCTGAACTACATCTCCAGCACTCTGCCATTTTGTAGCGTCGTTAAATCAGGAGACTTAGTTTATTGTAGCAGAGTGAGAAGTGAATATTTAAGTTCTGTGAAACATAGCCAGCCACAAAGTAGTGCTCTTGTTATGTTTCTCCTTAGACTTCTTCTCCTGTTGATAAAAGGACACCCTTTCCTCCATTGTTTTCAAAAGTTTTTCTTTGTTTTTATTTTCCTTTCTTTGGTGATTGAATCGAGGACCTTGTACATCCCTGGCAAGTGGTGTACCTACGACTGAGCTACATCCTCAGCTCTCTTCATTTCTCCATAAAAGTAGTATTGTTTTAAAAAAAGTAGAGACTTTAATCAGGTTCTGTTCAAATGCTATTACCAGGTACTTTGATTTTCATGAGTTTTTGAAAGCCACTGTATTTCCCAAAGGCAGAATATTGAAAATCAAATATCTCTGCTTTTCAAAGGAGAGTAACTTTGTAAATGTTTGTCTTAAATCTCTCGATGTGTACTAGAAAACTTAAGTGGACCATGAATATAACTGTTTCTAAGATATTATGTCAAGATACAAGTTCTTCCATGTAAAATAAATTTAGTGTGTTATACTCCTAAGTGTAACTATAAAACATTCTTTGATTGTTACATTTTAAAGAAAGTTGTTTAGAATATAAGGAGTCTGACCATTGTGTTAGAGCACTTTTTCTCTTTTGCTGTAAGCATGACACATGGAGTAGAATTGGTAGACCCTCTGTCTTTAGAGGTAGTGATTTGTAGAATTTTAAGACATTAAATCTAAGCTGCTACTGTTATTTCTGCATTTTTCTTGCCTGTAAAGATTTCTTGTCATATCTTTATAATCTTTAATTTAAAAACGAACCTGTACTTTGTGACTTTTAAGTGTACTAGGAATAGGGATAAATCTGTTTATAAAGCTCTTTTGTATATTTTAATTTCTGGACCATACTGTAGTTAATTATTCCATTCAATCTTAAGGTAATTTAAACCTACAAAATAAATATCTCAGTTATATTATCAATAAAAGAGAACTGAAAATATTTTTAAAGTAAGAAATTGCATTCTATGTCTGTTATAAAATCTGTAAGATATTAAAAGTAATTTTTTAATCCTTGTTTTGATGGTTTATTCATTTATCATCTGTGGAACCTGAGATCAATCTGAAGACTTTGTACGTGCTAGGTAAACACTTTGCCACTGGACCGAGTCCCTAGCCAGTCCTATTTATTTAGTTTTATTTTCTTATTTATTTAATAGTATTTTATGTGTACCAGTGTTTTGCCAGCATGTATGTCTGTGTCCTACACACATGCCTGGTATACCTAAGGAGGCCAGAAGGAAGACATAGGGTCCCCAGGAACTGGAGTTATAGATTTTTGTTTTTTGTTTTTCAAGACAGGGTTTTTCTGTATTGTTTTGGAGGCTGTCCTGGAACTCGCTCAGTAGACCAGGCTGGTCTCGAACTCACAGAGATCCTCCTGCCTCTACCTCCCGAGTGCTGGGATTAAAGGCGTGCAGCACCACAGCTCGACTTTAAATGTTTGCATTTTTGAAGGAAAAATGTTAAATATAAAGTATCAGAATGAGAGGGCTGGGGAGATGGTTCAGGTGACAAACAGCTATGTAACTTTCAGATTCTTGTCAAAGACCCTGTCTCATAAAATGAAGAGCCATAGAAAGCACTGAGTGTTGAACCACTGGTCTGCCCACGCTTGCACACAAGCAGGCGCGCACACATGTTCAGGAATCAGAATGGAAGAATGTTAAAATTATGAAATGGCTTATTTTAAGAGGTTTGTGTGTGTGTGCCTGTATGTGTGTGCACTGTGTGCATGAGTGTGCCTCTGGAACCCAGAGGAGAGCATCAGTTCATCTGGAACTGGGATTATAGGGAGTGGGGAGCATCCAGGTGTACTGGAAGCTCAACCAGAGTCCTCCGGGAGAGCAGCAGATACCACTGAGCCATCTCTCCAGCGTGTGTGTGTGTGTGTGTGTGTGTGTGTGCATGCCACGCACATGTGGAACTCACTGAGCCATCTCTCCAGCCTCTGTGTGTGTCTCTGTGTGTGCTTGGGCACACGGGGAACTCAGAGGGCGACCTGCCGGGATTGGGTCTCCCAGCACCATACCACCATGAGTTCCAGAAAACTGAGGTCGGGCAGTCCTAGTCACAGTCCCGTTTACCAGCTCAACCGTAAACTGGGTATGGTGATCACTTGTGAGTTCCAGGCCAGCATGGGGTACCTGAGACGCTGTCTCAAATCTCCTAAATCACGAAGCGTGTGGTGAGCGTGGGCGTGGGAGCCCGGCAGGCTCACTCAGGCATCCCGCAGGCGGCAAGGCGGGAAAGTGTCTCCGGTCCTGCGCGGTTCTTCCCGGCTCGGAGAGCGCGGGAGCCGCTGGCGCGCGGGGCTCCTCCCGCGCATGCGCAGCGCACTGGCGCGTCTCTGGCGCTGCGAGCTCCGGGCACCCGGGTCGCTCCCCGTAGCCGCCTCTCCCGGGGGGCCCGGCAGGGATGGAGCCGCTGGACGAGCTGGATCTGCTGCTGTTGGAGGAGGGCGGCGGAGCGGAGGCCGCGCCGCGAGAGGAGCTGTGAGCGAGCGGGCGAGCGGCGGGCGGTGGGCGCTGTCTATCCTGAACGCGGGCGGGACTTACGCAGGCTTTTCTGGCTCTAGCCGGAGGGTTTTGCCTCTTCTGAGTGTTGTTAGAATCTGGTTTTGAGCTCGCTGTTTCCCACACGACAGCTCACCAGTCATTAATACGTTGCATTTTTATTTTTTTACTTGCGTGTGTGGACTCGCTTGTGGCGGTCGGAGGAGTACCTGTGGGAGTGCTTTCCTTTCACGTGGGACCGCGGGAGCGAACTCCGGCCTTGCCAGCATTCCCCTTTAGTCAGGCCCAGTCATATTATTAATTTACGTGCTTATTTGCATGTGTCTGATTTTAGAGGCACCTTCCGGAGCTGGAGTTACAAGCAGTTGTGAGTTGCCTGGTGCGGGTTCTGGGAATTGAACTCAGGTCCTCTGCAAGAACAATACATATTCTTAACCTCTGTGCCATCCCCTGGCCTTGTAAGAGCTCCTGTAGGTGTTACCGTCTACGTCAGGAAACTCACGGTGTGAGGCTAAGTAGGGATGTTGAGTGATACATTTACAAAACAATGGATTGTGCAGCCAGCTGAAGTGATTGAAGTGATTGGTAGGGGAAAGAGGAAGGCATTCTTCATTCATTCATCCATCCATTCATTCATTCATTCAATCATTCATTCATTCATTCATTCACTTACACACTTACTGGTTTAGGTCGTTGAGACGTTGCCCTGGCTATCCTGGAACTTGCTTTGTAGACCAGGCTGGCCTTGAATGCACAGAGATCCCTTTGCCTCTGCCTGCAGAGTGCTGGGATCAAAGGTGTGTGCCAGCATGCCTGATAGCATTTGGCATGGAGAGAGCAGGTGACTTGTTAATGAATCCAGATACATGGAGAGAGCAGGTGACTTGTTAATGAATCCAGATACTCAGTGCTTGAGACTCACTGTTGAGACCCGCCTATGAATGACCCTTTTCTGGAAAGCCGTGGGGGAGTTTGCTTTCTTTGCAAGGAGAGGGAGGGAGGGTAGGACCACTTCCTGCCTCTGTAGTATGTTAAAACTAGATTTCTTTAGTGGTGCCCGGAATGCAGTAGACCGCAGCCCCAGTGCTGTAAAGATTATTATGACTGGCAACTCCTGGCGGGAATTGCAGTGAACCTCCCGTGCTGCTCTCCCCAACCCCCACCCCGCCCCGCCCCCTTTCCTTCAAGCAGTAATGGGGGTAAGACACAGGCTGGCAAGCAGGTGCTATGCCACTGAACTGTGTCCTGCCCAGTTTATCAGTTGGAAAAAAATCTGCCTGCTTCTGCCTCTCCAGTGTTGAGTTTAAAGGCATGCGCCACCACCGCCTGGCTTTTTATGTATGTTTTACACGGAGAGGAGTCACTTTCTGTTTTGAAATAGTGCTTGGTGTAGTCCAGGTTAGCTCAAACTTCCTATGTATCTAAGAACAACCTGGTTCTCCTGTCTTGTCTTCCCAAGTGCTGGGATTACCGACATGAGCCACCACACTCAGTTTATGCATTGCTGGGGATCAGATTGACCCCTGGGCCTTGTACATGTTTGGCAAGTACTCTACCCACTGAATCTCAGCCCCAGCCCATTCTTTATAACAGGAATATCCCTACCCCTTCCACAACCCCTTTAAGGTTTTCAGGAAAAAAGGAGACCTAAAAAACTAGAACATTGGCTTCCAGATAGTGCACTCTGATAGGATAGTTTTTATGTTTACGTTTTAGACTTCAGAAGAAGGTGGAAGCTTTCTTTCCTAAGACACTTCTGAGCCAAGGGGAGGATAACCGATACCTGGTACTATCTGTGGAGACCGTACAGAATGAGAGAGGAGACGAAGAAAAACAAGTGGTCATCACTGCATCGAGGGAGCAAGAGCACCAAGAGCTGTGCATCCTGAGGAATGGCTGGTGACTGGCACTTGACTTTGAGCCGTGGTTGGGTGGTCTGGAGGTGGTTTCTTCTTGCTTGCTTGATGGTACAGGGTCTCACGTAGTCTAGGCTGTAGTTGAACCAATTATATCTTGTCTCCACATGTTGGGAACTCCAGTCCAACTAACACTAGGGTATCATCTGAAAGAGCCCATCAAATGTCTTGTGTGGATTAACTGTTTAAAAGGAGGTGGCGGGTAGTTCGAGAGTAACAGTGCCTGCCACCAAAACTGGCAACCAGAGTTTGATGCCCGGGACCCACATAGTGGAGGAAGAGGACTGACAGATTCTCCCCATCCAACACGTACACCCAAAATAAATATGTTAAAAAAGACAAAGAATAATTCTTAAGGGAGGGGAAAAGGAAGGTATGAGGGATGGATCAGTGGCTAAGAACATTTGATGACCCTGCAGAGGTCCTGGGTTTGGTTCCCAGTGCAGCTCATAACTGCTGGTAACTGCAGGGATATGAGACTCTGCTCTGGTCTCCTTGGGCACTGCACACATGTGGGCACATGTGTATATGCCTAAATAAAATGAAAATAAAAATTTTAAGAAATGGGCTGTATCTGGCTCATTGAAAGTGTGGCCTTCATTCTAGCCTTTTAGTTCTTTTGTGCTCCAAACCGACAATCTTATTTAATTAAAAACTTTTTTTTGTTTAAAAATTGCCGGGTGGTGGTGGCGCACGCCTTTAGTCCCAGCACCCAGGAGGCAGAGGCAGGCGAATCTCTGTGAGTTCAGCCTGGTCTACAAGAACTAGTTCCAGGACAGCCTTCAAAGCCACAGAGAAACCCTGTCTCAAAAAACACAAACAAAAAATTAATAGAACTTTCTGTGTGTGACTGTTTTGTCTGCATGTATGTATGTTCATACACCGTTTGTGTACCTGTGGAGGCCAGAAGAGGGCTTTAGATCCCCTGGACTTGGAGTGGTGACCCATAATGTGGACACTGGGAACTGAACCAGGGTCCTCTGCAAGGGCAAGCAGTGCTCTTACTTAACCACAGAGCTGTCTCTTTAGTCCCTCCCGCTACTTAAATGAAATTTAAGACCCGGGTGTCTAGAAATCCTTACTCTTGAGATAAAACACTCGGTGCTTCTGGGTGTGTTTGACTGTGGGAATCTGGGTTGTATATTTCTGCTTCAACCTTGCCTTTTCTCAGGTGCTCGGTACCCGTGGAGCCTGGGGACATCATTCATTTAGAGGGAAACCGCACGTCTGACACTTGGATAATAGATGATGACCTTGGGTATCTTATTCTGTACCCTGACGTGCTGATCTCTGGCACAAGTGTCGCCAGTAGTATTCGGTGTATGAGAAGAGCTGTCCTGAGCGAGACTTTCAGGGTAAGTGACTTCAGCGCTGTTTAAACAGTGCCCTCCTCTGCTGTGCTGAGGGTGGGAGCCAAGGCCTTACTGTGCCCCTGGGCTATATCTTCAGCCCCAGAGGAACCCTTCACACTCACTAGTTGTTCAGTCCTGGGGGCTTTACAGAGGGCAAATGGGCTGAAAGCAGATGTGTGGTTTGCCCAGAGTCACATAACTGGTGATGGTAATGTTATACTTTATTAC